CAGGCATGTTGTAGCTTTACCTAAAGATGATTCTTGACTGACTATGCTCTGCTCAAAGATGATGTATTCATCTTTCTCAATATACCTGCTAATAATAGTTRTGTGGTTATTTGTCTTTGGATAACACTTCTTCCTTGGTGGTAGTTTTAGTACTGGTAAGTTGTAATTGCCAATGCTAATTTCAGAAAGTATTCATTTTATGAAGGACACATCAAAGTTTCTTTTGGCTCTCCAGGCAATACCTCCTTTGTTATTAAACCTCAACCTTTAAAGAAAACACTTTGAATTGTTTAAAGGTTTTCCTCAAGATTAGTAAGTTAAAAAAATACACAGTGCAGTTTGAAAAATGAAATTCTCTGTGTACATTTCTGTATGTGTAGGTATGTGTTACATATACAAAATAATTCATTTACAAGGATTATCTACAGTACAGTGTTAACATCACTAATAATTTAGAAACAGGTCAATTTTTTCCCCATCACACTATTGGAAATAAGGGAAGATAAAAGTTCTTTTCCCTTTTCATTATTTGAATAATTGAAGAAGAACTCTATCCTTTTCTAGACTGTGGGTAGTCAATGAGCAATGGGATAAGACATCCTAATGCCCTGTAGAGGGAAAAAAAAATGTGCTTCTCTAGTAGTAACCACAAGTGTAGCTCAGCAAAAGCAGCCACCTATGTGTGCAGTGCAGACACCAACTCATCTTCTTTTGTGGATGGACTCTGAAATTCTGGAGGAAAGAAGCAGCCAAGAACTGCAGAATCAAATAGCACCATGATATCAAATAGCACCATGCTATTTTCTTTCCATTGAAGGTATCTTCCCATAGTAACATTAACTAAATCTAAAATATATACTTTTTTTTCAGTTGTTAGTAGACCTTTTTTTTCTTTTTTTTCAGTAGACTTTTTTAGTTTTTACTTATTTATATGCGGTGCTGAGAATCAAACCCACTCCTGCACACATGCTAGGCAAGTGCTCTGCAACTAAGCCATAACCCCAGTCCTAAATTATATACTCTCAATAAACCAAAAGAATGCCACTGAGAAATTAGTCTTTCCAGTGTCTATGCTTTTATAGGAATTGATGGATAGGGAAGCACCTGATTTTTAAAAGTTATATGAGGTTATCTTGCATAAACATAACTGTCTAAAAAGCAATGACTATGCAATCAATAATATAAATATTGGTATTTGACCAGATATCTCTTGTTCTCAGAGCCAATATTCCTTATTCTTATCCTCTCCATAACATCACAGTATTCAGAAAATAATTATTGAGCTTTATTTATATTTCTCAGCTTTATTGATGAAAAAAAATTAATCATATGGGAGTTAATGCTGAATTTTATAAACAATAATATATAATAATTCTCCATTAGGAAATTGAGCAAACTGAACTCTAATTTTGATGCCCAAAATTCTTCCTCAGAATCTAATTAACCTGTAATAGCATTATATTAGTAATTTTATCAGTACTTTAATTTTTATATCACTTTAGTTTAATTTTGGCTTTATGTCTGCCTTATATTTATATTTGTGTAGAAATAAATGATAAAACCAATAAAAAGAAAATATAACAAGACAATATCAAGAAGGCCTGACACAGAGTAGCATATATGAACTCGTTCATATAAAAAAAACTAAGAACTGCCTATTTTAAGGTTATAACTAAGTATTTGTCTAATAATATTGGTATTTAAAGTCCAGATTTCCAAATTATTCTCTAACTTAAAGATACCAGTATATCAGTTTTTTAAAAAAACTTATAGTTCTATTACGTTAACTTGAAACATTTCAAATGATTTAATATAGTGCTTTTAAAAAAAAATTCTAGAATTGAAACTCTTCCTACACCTTCAAACTCTGTAGCCTTTATATGTATTCACAAAGAAAACCTTTCAACAATTTTTCAAAATGCAGGTGTGCAAATTACTCCTGAAACAGACAGGAGTCAAGTGTTCAGTATCCCCTGAACCACTGTTAAACACACCCCATAGCATTTTTCAGCTCATAAAACTTTAATGAGCTGAAAAGTTCCTTCAGATTTTTTTAACTGCTAACCAGTTGCCCTCCAGCCACAGCACCCTTAAGTTGCTATTAAGATCCACTTGAACAAATATAACATAAGCATGTCCTGAGTAGCATGTTTTATTTCATAGCATTAAAAAAAAAAGAAATCGAGATTTATATGACTTGCTGAGTGCAGCAAAAAATTATGAATGCCTTGGTATAATGTAGCATGGGTGGTATTTTTGCTTATTTAGATACAAAGTATATGTAAAGGTCAATTCTATTCAGAGGAATAGATTTATACAAGTTTATACATGCACCTAGGATTTTCCAGTCTGGAAAAATGTGCCTTGGTACATAAAAAGGTTAGTTTTCCAGGCATATATGCACTTTMCCTTATTAATGTATGCACCTGCCTTAGAACTCATTAATTGAACATGTGCTTTAGGGTTTTCCCTTGCCAAAGTTCAAAATGATGGAAAATTGAATTTCTTATTGGAAACAAATAATATTAGTGTAAGTAAGCAGTTGGGCCTGAGTAAATAAATCTCGTTGTTTTATAAAGACAATAAACAATGGTTTTTTATTAAGGACAGCATATATAGAACACACAAAACTAGAGATGATAGATTGCTCAATAGATAACATACCTCCACACACACACACACACACTCTTACACATGCACTGAAACCCCACCTGATGGAGGTATACAAATATTCCAGTTTTCTGACCAATTATAATCAACATAAAACAAAATTAGCTGGAAGAGGAGCAGAGCTCCACATTTTAAAAGTGGGAGGGGAAAAATACACCTATTCATATCTCCCAGGTCTGTATGAATTTATGTCAATAACTCACATAAAACTATACCCTTAGGGGCTGGGGTTGTGGCTCAGTGGAAAGCACTGGCCTAGCACATGCAAGGTCCTGGGTTCAATCCTCAGCATCACATAAAAATAAATAAAACAAAGGTATTGTGTCCAACTAAAACTAAAAATATAAATATTAAAAAAAAACTAGACCCTTAGTATAAATTGCTTCAGGCTGGGTAATTCAGATTCTCTGTTTTGAATAACCACTTATAAACTTAAGTGTTTTGTTTTTGTTTTCCTAATGACTGCCAACTCTCCTCGGGTAATCTAAGGTGCTATGTATCCTCAATTTAGCTTGTTCCATTTTGTAATTTGATTGTCCTAACAATGTACAATCTCCCATTTAAAAGAATTGGTAGATGAAGAACATTTGTACTGCATTTTATGTTATTCAATTCAACTCAATATTTACATTAACAGAGTAATATAAATTGAGGAAAACCTCTATAGAATAAGTTGCTCAAGTACTTTTCCAAATTCTCCAATTATGTATTGGCAGTAATTTCCTCCTTGTTTCTCTTCACTTCCCCCCCCCCAAAGGTTACATCTTTCTCTCTCTTTTCTAATCCTACTAACAGMAATCATCATTCCTATTTCTTGGTAACTTCTCTTTTCTACTCAGCTCTGAGAGACAGAAAAGGAATGTAGAAGAAAGGAAATATGTAATGGTTTCCAAGAAACAGCACCATTAACAAGGAAAGGATGCCTCTTTAAACTGCAGAGAAGTGGAGATTAAGTTCAGCTCTGGGGGATATGTTCTCTTATCAACTATTCATTGCCATGCAAACAGTTTACACTGAAACAATTCTAGATATACAAAGTCTATAGAAACCATAAATTTCCATATTTCCAACTGGATTCTAACTGACCTAAAAATAGAGCTACCAGCCTACTTCCCACAGGTGTGCTCCTGAGCACTCTAGAGAAAGCATCACTCTTCAGAAAAATGAGACCCAAAGGGAGTAAGAAACCCTACCAAAACGATATCCTTGCAGTCTGGCTTCTCAAAGTCAGGTCAAGGAAAAATGAATGCTTATTCATTTAATTCTTAAATTAAAATTAGAAAAGAACAATTTCCTAAAATCAGCCATCTTAGCTTTTAAAATGAAAAGAGACAAGCTTGAATTCATCTATTGATGGACCCATCATCAAAGCCGACGATTCACTGGTGCATGTGCTACTCATTTTCAACTCAACTTACCAAATTTAAAAGAATTAAGGAATTAAAGAATTAGGCAAGAATAAGTCACTTTTGATAATGACAATTGCAAGTATTAATCAGTATAAAGAAACAGCATTTACGAATTCTGTCAGAGAGCTAAAATATTTGAATTGGAATAGAAGGCATTGCAAACATTCCTAGAGAAAAAAAGTTAAATAATAATACAAACAATATTACAGCCTAGTGTTTGCAAACAAAGGTCTGCTTACATATCCATCTTCTGAAATTCCATTAGATACAAAGAATTATAATAACACCTAGAAATGAGCTAGATTGCATTCCTAATAGTGCCGCATTGAGGGACTAAAAACAACATATCAAGGTACTAAAAACAATAGGTTAAAAATATGTTGAATTTGCATGAAAATATATTTAAACTATTACCCACCTACAAGTTGCATAATAAACCTGCAAAATCATGGGGAAAAAAATCAAAGTAAATGGTTAGGTGTCTTTCTGTCAACACTAGGGATATGCAAAAGTGTTTTAGCTGTCCACATTGTAAGTACCAAGGGTTAATGGTTACAGACCAATGGAATGTTAACACAGTCTAGTGCTACACTTGAGTAGTAATGTATGGAAAGACACTGAAATTAAAACATTTTGTTCTGCATGTTCTGAAGTGATGTAACGGTGATGATTTGGTTATATTAGATGGTAAAGCAGGGCTTCTTATGACTTTAAAACAAAATCGTATCTAACATTCTTCCAAATTGTTTAACATATTCTTCCAATTCTTGTACAAATATATGAAGCTAATACATTTTTTTTCACACTCCAGTTATCTTCTAATGGCAGCATTTGGTATGTTGATTAATTTTTTCCAAAAAGTAACTTTCAATATAAAATGCTGATTGCCTTGAAAGGCATGTCTAGAAAGCAAAGACTTACCTGTCTTGTTTTCTCTGACCTCAATAATATAAACATTTACATCAGGGTGGAATTTTGTCCCCTCCGGGGGATGTGGAGTGGAAAATGCCTGAGGTCTGAAGGCCTCTTTGCCTTCCACAGTGGGTGGTCTTGTTGGCTGTGTAGCAGAAATACTTGACGTGGTGAAATACTCTCTATCAATATCGGTTTCTGTTTCCTTAGTTACAATATCAACAAGGGTGGTGGGAGGAACATGAGATGTTGATTGTGCAATGAGTACCATGTCTCGTGTTGTTTTCTCGCCAAGGTCCCTGTCAATGAGAAGTGGTTTTTCAGTGAATGCGGTAGATGGCTTGAATGCTGGGATTGTGTGGAGTCTGTCTACTGGGCTGAAGGCAATGGGGATGTCACTTGGAATCGTAGCTTTGACTGTTGAAAATTCTGCAAGATCTGTGGCTTTGGGCTTTTCAAATAACCCTGAGCCTATATCAATATAATCTAGAGAGGTTTTCTCTCTTTTCTCAGTAGTGGCTTCCTCTACAAACTGGGTAACACGGGTGCTCAGAGGACTCAAAGGTGACACAAATTCTGTTGTACTACTACCTTCTGCTTCATATTTTTCTTCAGGTTCTGGAGTTAAAAATTCTTTGGGCCTGACACTTGGTATTAGTGTTACCATTTCATCTTTTTCTGCTTTGTGCTCAGTTACAGCACCAGGTGGATAAGACTCAATTTTTCCAAATGGAGTTGTTTCTAAAATCGGGACTCTCGTAAAACCTGTTCCCAATATATCTTCAGAGACTGTAAATGCTGATCCATCACCCTCTTCATCCAAAGATGTGGTTGCCTCCTGGGGGGGACCCACTGTAGAACTCAGAGCAGGAACTGGTTTCCCTGAAGTCGGTTCATCCCAAGGGAATTCTTCCTGACTTGTTCCCTGTGAGATTTCTGTTGTTCTCAGAGTTTCAGGAGACACAGTTGCTTCTGGGTGAATATGTTCAATGACACGTATGTCTTGAGAGGGTTCCCTTAGAACTTCACCTTCTGATGGAGCAGGAGGTACTAACACACCCCATTCTGTCTTGGGAATTACAGAGAGAGGAATGGTATAGGAAATGTCTACATAGGTAGTAGGCTCCTGGGTGCTACTATAATTAACAAATGTTACTCCTTCCACATCTGAAGTGTATGCAAAGGGAGAGACAGTAGGTTCTGGCTTAGAGATGTCTATATCTTCTTCTTCGTCCATGGCACTTCCTTCTGTGGTTGCATGAACTTGTTCTTCTGTGCTTGTGGTAGGTGGAACTCTTTCTTCAGTGGTTGAAGGTCTAGAAGTTGACTTTTCTGCTATACTAATAGATGTAGTTGGCTGAAATTTAACTGTGAATTTCCCATGATCTGTGAGCTTTTCTAATGGCTTTTGAGCACTATCTGGAATAAGAGTAAATTCATCTCCTCCATCTTGAGTAAAGCTTGGGATTTCTTGATCCTTTCCATTTGTTCCCATAGTGGTGAGTAAGACAGGAGGAAATTCTGGAGAGTGTGCATGTTCTGTGGACTCTAAAGGCTTTGATGTTGCATTGTCTTCATCCCATGACCACTTTGATACAGTGACCACCTCCACACTTAAAGTACTGTGGGTTGAATGCACTGTGGTAATATCTTCCTCAGACTTGGCAGTACCTTGATAGCCATCTGTTCCTAATCCAACCAGAGCTGTTCCACTGTCTTCCTCAACATCTTTTGCTTCTGTTGGCTTCACAGTTGGCTTCATTGTTGTCCACGATGGGGAATCAAAAGATGTGGTCATTTCCATAGTAGATTGTGTAAAATGAATTTGATCTGAAGGAGACGTAGAGCGCTTCATTTCAGAGAAGTCTTCTTCCTCTGTTTTACCTATAAATGGATCTTTGGTGAACTTTTCCTGTATTCCAACATCTGTATGAGGACCCGTTCCCATCTCTGGCCTCGGTGTTTCTGTTCTTTCTCTTCCTTGTGTCATTTCTGTTTGTGGTGAGGGGTAAATAACTGTAGATATTCCCTCTACTAATATTTTATCACCAGAATAAGGGAACAATTCTACTTCTGTAATGTGCTGTGATGGAAAAGGTGTAGTAGACGAAGATGGGCTAAATATATCTTCAGTTATCCTACCATTTGTTTGTTTCTCTTCCCAGCTGTCTATCGAAGATCCATCATTGTCAGGCATCATTATGGGGGAAACAGTTGTGGATGCTGAGATTGACTCCAAGTCCTCTAACTGAGAGTGGGTGGTGTCTTCTGAAGTCTTTGATACTGTAATGACTTCGGGTATTTGGCTAAGGACCAAGGTACCCTGATCAGATCTAGCTGTAAGTATTCTGTCTTCACTATCTTCTTTTCCCAAGGTGAATTCAGAGTGACTTGTGCTCACCAAATCAGGAGTGGTGCTTATTGTTTTCTCTTCAGTTTTGGATTCTGAGGTCATTTCTGTGGATACAAATGGTGTTTTGGTTACAAATGATTCCTTGGAAGGAGTGTGCTTTGAGATTTCCATAGATGTTACTAAAGGACCCACTTCTATTTGCTCAATCTGTGTTACTGATTCTTTTGTTTCTGTATCTTCCATGATACCATCCCAAGAATCAGTAGCATGCTGGAAGACAACAGTTGTACTTTGGAGCATTCCTTCCTTAATTTCAGATATGTCTGGCTTTTCAAGTGGTCCTGAAGCAGAAGGTGAGTAGTAGTCCATATCCCAAGGCTTCTCAGAACTCCCAACGGACGTGTGTGACACAGTGGCTAATCTGTCTGTGATCGCCTGAGATTGGGTGGTGGCTTTCTGTTCAAAATTGACCATATTTCCTATAGGAGGGAACTTTTTTGTAATGATAGGTAATGTGGTGACTAAAGGGATGATTGGTGTAGTTCTGTCGAGTACCATTTGTGGTTCTTTGGATAAACTGGGTGATGTAGTTTCTGCGAGGATATTCAATTCGACGGTTGTAGACTCTGTTATATTCTGTTTAGCTAGAAAAATAATTTCAAAGAGTTGATTAGACAAGTCACTAAAAATAAAAAAATGCTGTATGTCCAGTGTTTGTTAAATGCTGCTGTGTTATTTTCAGGTGAACCCAAAGTATTTAGTGGTGGAAAGGAATCTAAAAATTGTACTTAACCCAAAGAGAGATAATTGAATAGTTACTGAAATTCGTAAGTTGTTTTATATTGTAAGGGAATGAATTTTTGCCCACAGGTATAAATGCATGTTCTCAATTTGAAGTCCAAAAAAGTGGAAATGCAGATTCTGGAGGCACAGGAGCTTATTTATCATAACCAACAGCAGCACCTTGACACCTAGTGGGAAAACTTGACACTATTATTCTGGAAGCTACTGTGCCCTGCCACTAGCTCTCTCCACACCCTCCCTCCTTCTCAAACTGCACAGCGTCTCAGGGGAGAGGGAGTGTCACAGACTGCAAAACAACAAAAAAAACCACATCAAATGCAACTGAGTTACAAACCATTACATTGTCCATCATGTGGAGACTTTCATAAAAACAGGATATTAAATTTTTTATACCAATCTTCACTTGATTCCAGGTGTTGGACATTTGTCTTCATCTTCCTTTTGACTCTGTGGATTTGTTTCTAACAAGTTATACAGTGTGTCTGGCAGAGGATGGTTGGCATGTGTTGTTCTACATTGTGGTTCTATGTTCTATACACTATGTATGACCATCTTCAGGGTCTTGGTCCTACTCTTAGTTTAATATAAAACACAAACTTACAGGAAGTACAGTGCCTACATGATATGTTTTATGTCCATAATTACAAGTCACTGGATCTACCCTGAGCATCAGGAAAAGGGTAGAGCCTGGCAATATAAAGGAATGTATCATCATAAAAAGCCATGTTATAATGTCTCCAGATTGACAGAGAATGGCTGGGCTGTTTAAAGAAATTTAAATAGTGCACTAAAATGACTACTATAAATAAAACTCCTTGACACAGGGAAACTATAGCAGCCTAGCATATAAATATTTGCTTTTTAAGAAATTAGTATTTTTGAAAATCAAAATTTGTTGCCACTGAACTCAGATAGGAAGTATTCTAAGGAAACTCATAATTCTTGTTTTGTTACATCCTGTAGGACTTACAGCTGGTTGTACAGGTAATGCCCATTCTCTCTGATAATAGCTGTAATATCTGCAGAATCTATAATATCTGGTATCTTCTTTTTAATAATCCCCAAACAGGACCTCTTGAGAAACAAAATTAGGTACTTTATGGCTCCATCTTCTCTGTCAAAACTTAATGATAAAATGATGTGATTTTATAGTAATCAGAATAGCACAATAATAGGTTCCTTACTTTTTGTCTGGCACGTGCTGTTATTAGCTATCATCATGTCCTAAATCATTTTAGAGCCCAGAATCATCAATTTTATRAGGAAAACTTGGTGACCATTTACATTGTTGTGCATGTAAATGTTCTTTAAATCCTGTCACTATTTATCCTCTTTTATTAAAACAAAATTAAACAACACAAAACAAAAAAGAACTGAAGTCTTTAAAAAAAAAAAAAGTTAAATAATCTTTCTTTCTCCCCGTTTCTTAGGAAAAACTCTTTCTGCCTTCATTTCCTGAAAAAAAGTACTGGTCCACTTTGATTGACAAGAACAACTTAAAGACCCAAAATGTGGTTGGCTATTTTTCTTTTAATTCAATTCTCTATCCTCTGAAATTTCATAACCGTTACCTCATTTACTGCCAAATATCATGTTTGTCTTATAATAGCATTCTTTGGGGAAATAGTAAAAAATATGTACAGAGAAAGTTCCCATGGAAACATAATATAACCTTTTATAAAACTACATATTAGAGAAAATCTAATCATATTATTATTAATAACAACAAAAAAGCTAATTTTACCTTTTCCCTCTGAGTATTTCCATGGCTGATGAAATTAACTTAAAAGAAGGTGATATTGCTTTGGGGCCAAAGAAAAGTCTTGTGAATTGGGTCTTCCCACATTCCAACCCACGCTCTCTGCTAGCAACTCTCTATAATGCTGCAAAAATATTTTTATAGTATTTTTTAAATGGACTCAGATTTTAAAAACTAAATAAACATATATCATTGTTAATTATTACTATACAGTTCAATATTGCTGTCTTCTAGACTTGTCATATAGTAAAGTGTTAGCAGTGTATCTCTGCCTTACAAAACCAGGATTTATGTGATTTTGTTTTCAGAAAAAAAAAAAGGATTTTGATAATTTTAGAACCCCATTTAAGAAAGTCTGCTTACAATTACGTTAATTAATTCTACAACCCAGAATGAAAAACCTCAGACTTCCTTTTGGGGTTGGGTGGCTTTTTCGTCAACTTAACAGCTGACTTCCATCATAGCTCAGTGTATCTGGTCATCTGTGCCATTTGTTGCGGGCCATTCCAAAAAAGGAAATAATTTTCTAAGTGTACAAATACCTACAAAGAAATGTCTTAAGAAAAAATATCACTGTGTTACTGATGACTTATGAAGATGAAAACACAACTCTAGAGTACTCTAAAAGTATCCCCCCCCTCCCAGAAGGTACATTCACATAGAGACGTTTGGTCTTGGAAAACTACCAATGTTCCGTCAACTTCATTATTGAGGAAGCCAACAAAACCCAGCATATTTCTGTTCCCACAAAAGTTCCCTTCCAACCTTTGCAGCTGTCTGCCCCACAGATGTTTTACATCACAGTACTTATGGTATTTTATGTCCTATGGACTATCTTCTCTGTGCTTCTGTTGCAAGACATGAGGCAGATTTTCCTAATAAAATATAAAACCCCTATTAGCAGCATGATAGTTGATTTAACTCCTACCCCACACTATCTACATAATGGAGAAATTTTAAATTGGTTCTTCTGTATTAAATTTGATACATATAAATATATATAAACATGAGAAGAGGTCACAGATGGAGGGGATATTTGATAGGTTGACCCTGGGTTCACAGTTGAGGGAAGTCGTAAAGTCAAAACAGTGAAATTAGAGTTTGAACTATCTGTTAAAAGTTTCATGAGTGACTGAATCCTGATTCAAATCTAATAGACAGGAATCATTTTTGAAATACAAATTAGAGAAGGATTACCATTAGCACCATAGGGCCAATTATGATTTAGTTTAGGTCACAAAAAAAAATAGTGATGTGACCACAGGTTGGAAGGGCATGTCAATTTTAAATGTAAACAGATATATAGACTAGTATATAAAGTGGCAGGAACCAATTTAGTCTGCTCTAGACCACTATTTCTAATTCCAAACTTAATCAAACAGAGGGATGTGAAAAGCAATGAAGGATCAAAACAAAATTATATGATGATTAGGGGTTTAGAAATTCAGATTTTTGAAACAGGGAAATTATTACAATTAGAGAAGATCCTGAGGGACAATTAAACAATTGTGTTCAATAGAAATGACTGTTATTTAGATACTGGTCTCCAACTTAAAAGGGAAATATGGATTCAAACTCTTAGATAATTAGAAATAATGTTTAAACTCTTAGATAATTATAAAAACTATCGGAGGGTAATAGTCATTAAAATCTTAGAACAGCTTTTCTAGGAATCACGCCCTTCTCCTTCTCTTGGGGATCTTAATAATATGCAACATAGATTTTCATTAGTTTTGGATGGTTTTGATTCATTTAAATTTGGGGATATATGGAGTGAACTCTCAAAGCCCTTTGTATTACTTTCTGAATTTCACAGAACATGTTTAATTCTGAGGTCAAAGAAAAAATTAAAAGTTCACAGTCTAGTTTAATCATGAAGGAGAACTAGGAAAACTTTACTTCACCAAGACATTCATTCACCTGTTGTTCAAATTTATTTAACCAGAATAGATTCTAACTGTATTTATTATCAGTTATTGTAAGGGTACTATTCTGACTTACAAGGAAAAAGGGAATTACAGTAAAATAAGATTTAGAATATTTACTCACATGGTTTAAAAAAAACAATTTCCATGTTTGATAAAAGCAAATGAGAAAACTATGGGCATATAGAAAATTCTACTACTTAACCAGCCAGCCGTCCATCACTGGAAATCATTATTAGGACTATAGCTGAGTTCATGACTCCTGCAAATGTTCCCCTACATAATTTAGTCACTACTAGACTATGTGGGAAAAGTGGACATTGATCATTGAGAATGTTTCTCAAAGTCTTTAAAAATATATGATATCCTTAAATAATGTGCTGGAAATTTGAAGAAGCTATGGATACTGTGTGTAGTTTAAGGAAGGCTTTCCTGTTATAACTGAACTTTCTTAACCTCTTATGTGCTGAATGAATTCTGAATGTACTTAGGTCTTGGGCAAGGAGGAAATAAACAAGGATCTGGACTCCAGTCTAGGGAGAAAAGAACCCAGTTATGAACCCATTCTATTTATAAGTTATATACATTTAAATGAATTAGAAAATAATAGAACTAAACCTTCAAACATATTTCCTATTTTATGTAGATTTTTAGTAGGTGATTAATCTATTTAAATCTAAGTATCTCATTATTTATTTTATACACTCATGTGAATTTTTCATTTAAATAAATAATTTAAAACACAGGAAGATGAATTCTTTGCTACTGTTTGTGGTAACAGACAGATTTTGATTTCAGTTTTACCCTTGGGAAGAAAACATGTTATTTAAAAGTTTTCTAGTGCCAGTTTTATAAAGCACAGAAAAAGTCAACTGGGTAAGGCCCTCTGGATGATCTGCTCCTCCTTTATGTTAGCCTTTCCCTTCCCTCCTACACATAATCTGACCTTGTTCCTTCATCACATCAGCTACTTCATACAAAGCTGATATTAGAGCCTAAGTTATCTGGAAATCAGTGTAGTATGACTGCAACTTCAAGAAATGTATATACACCTACTTTTATAATAAGGTTTTTGTTAATTGTTGTTGTTTTCCTGAAAATGATTAGGAAAGACTTTTTCTGTTGTTTCAGGGTCTGAAAACAAAAGCTCATATTTTCAATGGCCTTTTGTGAATCAGCCAGCTTGTATCAAGCTAACACACAACACATGGCTTTAACACTCAGAAAGTTGAGTCCAGAGGAAGAAGTGCAAGCAGAGGCATCTTGCTGGGAGACAGAAAGAAGTATGTGGAAAGAAACCTTTCCATTGAACTAACATCTATTCTGTTGACTACTTGACATTATAGCTCTGTCCTTTGCACTGACGAATACAGCTGCATATTTAGTTTAGAAACCAATTACATAATTACCCTACTGTTTTTTCTACTCATTGATGTTGAATATTGCTATAACAAGATACATTGGCAATCTAGTAAAAAAAAAAAAACCTATGATATTTCAATATAATATGACTTAGTCGGACATCCACATGGTCCCCCAAAACTCTAGGCATTCATTGTTTGGCTAGCACAATATAGACCCTACAGTAGATATTACAATAAGCTTATAGTTACTTTCTTGTTTAAAGCATTCTACAATCATGATACTATGTCATGTGATTATTGTTGCCAAAATAACATAATTGAAGATAGCCTGTTTGCTTTACTTGTTACAAAGGGGACATACTATACTTCAATTAATTCAGTATAGATTTGATCATTAAAAGGCACATATCCATTACTTGAAATAAGATGAGATACATGGATATTTTTATTGACAGTATGGTTCATTTTTTAAGTGGGAATTGAACGTTATAATGATCCATGTCAGCTCTAATTACTCACCTGCAATTACAGAAATCTAAATTCTCTGCCATTTCAAAGAAAGTGATATCAAATAAGACAAACAGAATTCAAGGATTTACCCAGTAATAGTTGGTCTCAACATTATAGCACCAATAAAAAAAAATTGTATTTGAGGACTTAAAATAATATAAAACAATTATTCAGAAATACGTTCTGTGATTCTGGGTACAACATATAAAGTTAAGACCTTAACCAAATATTTCCCCATCCCCTCTAAAAATCCATTTGCCACCCTTCCTCTTGTTTTAGCCATCTTGTTGCTGTCCAATGTGCTTGCTTCTGAAGGTCCCTGAACTGTTTCCATTCTGTGCACATACTGCAAGATATGGAATCCATTCCAATGGCTAGTTGAAGTCTGTGCATGCCTTTCAAGTTTTTTTTTTTAAATCTGAAAATTTTAAAAAGATATTAAACACTTACGTTTAAAGCAGTAGGCATCAAATCTGCTATCAGGGGGAGGGAAGCCTGTCTGGTTCTCAAAACGATACAGGGTTCTCACCCCAAGTAGACCACCTCCACACTGCGCCCTGGCCACAGTCACAGGGTGGCGCACGCTGGCATCCGACAGCCACCCATAATCACACTGRTCAAAGCCGTTCCTCCATGCCGCCTGGAGTTCCCCCACCGTCGCCAGCCTGGCGTCCTGGTTCTCACACTCTTCTTCAGCCTCCTCAAAGGTGAATTTATTGGGAGCAGTGATGTGGAACACATCACCTGGAATAAGAAGAAGKGGGGGAAATCCTTAGGTTTTCTATTCATTTCTTTCCTGTTTTGATAAGCACAGACAAGGGGGGAGTGACACTTTTCATAGCAAGGTAACAGCTTCTGAAACTGTAAATCAGAAAACATAAGGGATATTTTGATATAATTATTAGTAATATATAATAAGAACAACACATCAGAAAAGTTTTGTTCTATGTGCATGACTCTGAGTTTGTGTTTGTGTGTGTGTGTGTGTGTGTGTGTGTATCCACAAGAAGTTCCCCTTCCCTGCTCCTACAATATCTCCCTCCGTATTAAATGTTATATATATATTCCCATAGGCCATAGAAGCCGTCATTTGATAATTCCTTAAAATGAACAAATCTTTCCAAGCGGTTCATTGGGTTCCAGGAAATGGATTTTCTTTTCAATGAAAGAGCCTGTGATATACTTGTAACAATTTATGCTGGAAGGAGGAAGCGGTATTGATCTACACATGGTGATTTCACTTTGTTTATACCAAAATCAAGTAGTAATTCTATGATCCCACTCCCCACATGCCACTACCATCAGAATAGATTGACTCCCATTAAACCCCAAATAAGAAAACTTCCAGATGTTTGAAGGCAGAAAGGGACTGAAGAAATAGGACACTGTTTCCTGCTTCCTGTTCCAAGCTCCATGTTGGTTTTTAGGCTGTGGCCCAGAAAGCAGCATAGGCCAAGGGTGTATGGGTGTTGACATCAGCTAGCACCCAGCCAGCCAAAAGGACCCAAGCCCCTTTGGAGGAACATTATTTTTCTACTTGCTCTGCCCAGACAGGATACTTTTTAGAATCTGTCTACCCAAAAGGGGCACTTTTTTTCTAATTTTTACAAAGGCACCAATAAGTACCAGCAGGGGCTCTAACTAGATTCAAGAGACATTTATGTTTGCTAATTGAATAACAGGGAAAGCCTGGACATTTGTTTTGTTTATCATCAGATTATTTAGCAGAGGGCTTATTCAGTATCAGTCAACATGTTGCAATAAAGTATGCTGGAAATTTTACAGATTGTTAAGTTGGAATTTTATTTGGGTAACTTGTCTAACAATTTGCCAAGAAAAATTCCACTCAAATTAAATGATGCTTTTCACATATGAGCACAAGTGGCCAAAAGACAGAGGTAGGATTAGAGAACACCTAAGCAAATACAGCAGACACAAAGAGGAATAAAAAAATAAGAGAGGAAGCTGAAATATCGATAGTTCATAATTGTAGCAGCTGCAGGTCCCATTTCTATCTCATTATGGTTGATCTCTGATTCTGTGATATATTATACAACAGGGATACAAAGAGCTCTCATGATTTGAATCTTCACTGGACTTAAGCCAGAAATAACAAGCAACTGTTTAAACTGAATAGGGCCATTACTCTGAGTGTGTGATAACTTCATGAAAAAAAAAAAAAAAGGAAAACAGCCAAAGCACACACATCAATTTTTCTCTAAATTTAAAATTGCTACTGAGAAAAACATGCCAAATCCTAATAAGAGTTATTGGAAGAAGAGAGAGAAAAATTTCTTTTACCTGTCTGAAAGAAGTGGTAGAGGTAAGAATAGGTTTTTATATTTAACTATCTATTTCAGCAAAGAACAATAATCTCAAATCCAAAAATCCACAAGAAGTTCCCCTTCCCTGCTCCCACGATGTCTCCCTCCCTATTAAATGTTAAAAAGCATAAAAGCCACAATACCACTCACAGAGTACGTACTCAATAATACTTGTTAAATGAATGGCATTTCAAGTTCTTGCTAAGAAATAAGATCTCTTTTTTCAATTCTCCCAAATAGCACACTAAGTAATATTAACTCCAGTGCAGTGCTTTGGATGGCTTCTGCCTGTTACAGGTAATCCATCTCCTATGGACTGACCTGGCTCAAACATGGAAAATAGCAGAAGTAGAAGCAAGATCACCCTGAGCAGTCAATTCATCTCAGTGTCACACTTATATTGGGCCTGAAAGGGATGCAAGTGTTCAGGAGGACAGAATGCCAACACTTGTGCCCCAAACGTAGAACACTTGGCCTTGCTATTATAGGGAAATATCAGCATTGTTGCCTTAGTTTCATGCCATTTGCACTTTAAAGCAAAAACCACTGTTGCTTCTAAGTAACAAGAGTGATCAGCCAGACAGAGCAGGGCAAAGAAATGTCATTAACTGAATAAAACTCCACTCTTCAAATACCACTGTGAGGGGACCTTAACTTCTCCAAATAAGCCCAGACCAAAGGGCTAAATGAGGAGAAATGACAGAATGATAATTAGACTCCCATTTTTAAGCAGCAAACATGTTTGGGATATTGAAGGAAAGAAATAGCCTGGTTAAAAAGGATTCCCTTACTATTAAATCAATACAGGCCGACTTATGGAACTTCTCATGTAGAAATTCCTATTGAATCTGACTTTATAGCAAAATTTTAATTAATTTAATCATTTATTTAGAGGGTATAATTTCCATTTATCTCTCTGATACCTATAAAATGATTTTATTACTTTGATCAAATTTTGTTATCATCAGAGTACTTGTTTTCCTTTTCATTTATATGTAGGAATTTTTCAAACATTGCAAATAAAAATTTTTGAAAAATGTACTAGARGGGCTAGGGTTGTGACTCAGTGATAGAGCTTGATTAGCATGTGTGAGGTACTGGGTTCGATTCTCAACACCACATATAAATAAATAAAATAAAGGTCCATCAACAACTATATATATACTGGAAGAGCATCACCATTAGGTTTCATGTAACTCAGCTGGGAAAAGGATGATTTAATTGGATCAGTTGAGTTTACTTTCAGGTAACGAATGAGAAAATTCATCTACAAAGGCAATGAGAGATCAGCCATCATATAGGGAATAACTGTCATTTTGTTTCAGAATGAGAAAAAAAATAAAAAAACATTTACTTTAACCCTGTTCCAAAATTAACTACCTAAACTTCCTAAATCCTAATTGTTTAGCATGAAAATTAACTTGCTCACCTATAAAACCTAATGATAAGGTGAAGTCTTTACATTATAGAACTCTCTCCATGTCTTTAATTTCTTACTGGATAATCCTGAATTCATACAAAATATGATAAGTTGTATGTCCAAACTTCTGTTCTCTCTGTGTATCAACCTCCGAAACATCACCCCCAGGACATCTGTACATGGATCTGTTTCATTGAATAGTTTGAAGAACATTGCTCTAAGACACTGCTCTTGTGTATCAATCAAGAGGATTCTGAATTGATTTACAACAGACATGACTCAGTATTAAGTTTCTGGAAGCCTCTGTGTAAATCTTCAGACAGAAGCAGAGTGAACAGACCAGGTAACAAAATCAGAGCAGGAGAGAACAAAGCCAAATGTACATGAAGTCACTTGCCTCCCAAGATTGTGTCAAAGACAACAAGTGAGCAAAGAAAGGAATAGGGCAGAGCCGAAAACCCTGAGCAAGGGTCTGAAACAGCAATTTAAGCCAAATACAAAGGACTTGTGTCTTAAAAAGAATCTCATTTTGCAAAAGTAAGCCAAGGTACCAACAATAAAAGCAGCAGATTTCTCCTCAATAATATATCACAGAAAATAATTGAACACTGTTACGCTGGAAAGAGCAGTCAAGTTGTTAACATTCTCAAAGTTTTTATTGATCTACTTTCAATTTTTCCATGCATAGTTCAGAATTACGTAAAAATCAAATAGATATTCTCACAGCACAATGGAATGAAACTGGACAGAAATGAAGTCTGAATTAATGACAATAAAGTAAATCCAGGCATGGTTTCAGAAAGGAACAGTCATATGAGGATGTGTCAAAAGATAAAATCTGAAGTCTAGAGGCAAAGCCAAGTCAGGAACCAGAGACAAAAGAGAAAGCCATTGATCACAGCAAACATGAGAAGTCAAGCAAAGCAACTGGGGACATTTGCTTAGTTGTGCTCTCTCAACATGACCTAATTGGCCCAGCTGCATAAGCTCCCACCCTGAGGCTACCTTACAGGCAACTTTTTGCCTCTGATGTGAATAATGAAAATTCCTTCCAACCTTTTATCTCAGAACCACATTAGAGCTAGGTGGGGGATGCAGAGTCTTCTGAGAGAAAATGCTATTTAATTAGCATAGGATGAGGTTGTGTTCTATCTCAGTTCTGGACATTTGCACCAAACAGTTTAATGTAATTTCAGATATCTGATATTTTTCCTCTTAGAAAACAAATGTCTTTTGTATAGTTTGACAAAAATTCAATTACTATTAAGTTGCAGAAGTAGCCTCATCAAAACAGCTACATGGATAAGATACTTAATCTAATTTATAGCTAAAGCATAGATTTGGAACATGATAATTTACCCATGAGAGCATTTTCATTTTCTCTAATTAGAGAGCAAAAAAAAAATCAGTAAATATACAAAATTTCTTTTATATACACAATGTAACACATTAGTTTAGATAAAATGTCAACTTATAAGAATTTGCTGAGGTTTATATGTATATATTCATATTTGTATGTACATAATGCAGAACAGAGGATTTCACATAGAGAAGAATTTGCATATTCATAGATAAAACATATTTGCAGTATTTTAAGTCTTATTTTTTTCCCAAAATTTCAACTTAAATGCATCTAGCTTTGAATTAATTGTTTCATCAATTTTCCAGGGATGATCTACAAAAAAAAACTAGAACACATTGTTGGTTGAGATTTTAATAATGATAACATTCCTAAATTTAATTCTTCTTAATCATGGAATTAATGCCAGTAGAAATATTAAAGGAAAATTAATGTGATTATTAGTCACAAAAGACTCCCTGGAAACTGGACCATTCCTGTTCTTCTTCCACACTTTTGATCATTATGTGGAAAAGCGGCTTCTTGGATGACTAAAAAAATGACACTTTGAAATGGCAAACAATGATGAAAACAAACCAAAACAGTAATAATAATCCAAAATGTTGGAAAGCTCAAGTATATAAACTCAGGAGTCACTCAG